AACAGCTTGGTATGTAGAACTCAAAGTACCTCCTCCCCCTACATTGGACTGAACTGAAATGTTGGGGTTTGAGAGGGACTTATAACTAGGTGGGGTAGTTACCCTTGTAGGTGCCCCAGACCCACCACCAACACCAGAACCAGACCCACTAATCCCTCTGTTGAGATAATATGCAGCACCCCCAGATAGCACCATCCCTTCTCTTCCATCCATGCATTTACTCACTAAAAAACTTCCAAAACTGATTCTTGATGCTTCTATACACAAAAAGATTGAAACTTTAACATAAATTTAGTAAAAGACTTAAGTGGGGTTCTCAAGAACTGAAGAAAAAAGCTAATAATCAGAATGCTGGTGAAAAAAGACGCACACCCAAGTAAGAAAAGCCAGTGAAAAATGCTAAAAATTGAATCTTGAACTAAAAGATCACATATTTTTATAGTTTTAAGACAAACCCAAGTTGTAGTTTTAAGTAAAAAAAAAAAAAAAGTTAATATACAAATCTTAGCACAACAAAGATGAAAAAAAGAAGAAGGAGAAAATGAAACCCTAGATTTGAAGTGAGAAAAGGAGAAGGAAGAGAGTTTTTTTGGGAAAAGAGAAGAGAGGGAGGGAGGGTAAAGACAAAAGTGCAATGAAATAGAGAAAATTTAAGCCCTTTTGAATTAAAGTAAATGAGTAGACAGAGACAAGTTTCTTTTGAGACTATAGAATAATTATAAACTAATGAAGGGAGAGAGGGTTCAATAGAAGTCAAGTGATAATAGGAATATATCGTTACGTATTATTTCATAATATATTATAGACATAATGTACAAGTATCTCTTAACTTATGTTCAAAATTTCAGAGACACACTAATACTGTACTAAGGTCCTATTACCCCTGAACTTATTTTATTAATAATTTTCTACCTTTTTCGGTCTACGTGACAAATTTTATGGACCCAATGCTGGTTGACTTTTTTTCTAAATAGTGCCACGTAAGCTGAAAAGGGGTAGAAAAATACTTATTTAATAAGTTCAGGGGTAATAGAACCTTAGTATAGTATAAGTGTGTTACTGAAATTTTGGGTATAGGTTGAGGGTGTACTTGTGCATTTTCCCTATATTATTATATTATATTTTATAATATTATATTATATTATTATTTATGATAATATAATGTTACACATTAATAGTTTAAATAATAAAACTACAAGAAAGTAAGATATAAGATAGAACTATTATGAAAAAGTGGATTAAATATGATTATTGAATCAATAAATAGAGTTCAAGATAACGATGCGATCACACTAAATAAATCGTTATAAAATAGAATTGTTTATTATTAAATTAACAATGTAATATAAAAGATTATTTAAATTTAATTGAGCTCTCAGATTTCAAACCTCGAGTTAAAAAAGAAATACATCCAAACAAGATGTTAGATTGTTTTTTTTTTTTTTTTGACTTAAGAGGTCTTTGGTGGACAGTTGGCTAAGTTGGGTGCACCTAAGTAACATCATGTCTTTGTCATTATTGACACTATATTGGTATGCAAATTTTTGGGCAAAATCAAAGGAGAGAGATGGGAAAACAAACACATTTTTTTTTTCTTTTATAGATTTAAGGTCTATTTTGTACTTTGATGAATTTATTGAGAGTTTGGGACTTTAGTTAAATTGCTTTTGGAAGTTTGAATAACAAATTATTGACCAAAAAGGAGGATAATAGAGTCATAGGAGAAAGAGTTGAGAGTTCTTTAAAAATAGCAAAGATTTAAATTAAGCAAAAAAAAATAAAAATTATTGGAATTAGTTCTTTACACCAAACATTTAGATACATGATATAATATGAATTTTTAGAATTAGTTTAGTACGAGAGATAAGAGATAATTAATTTTAGAATGAGTTTATTTCAAATTTAATTTGAATAAAATTACAATATAATTATTTAAGGAATATATTGTTATTTTATTACACATTAAGGGTGGAATAATGTAACGACCTGTTTAGTCGTTTTGAGTAGCAGACTTCAATTCTGGAAAAACTGGCAGAAGCGACAGACCCCACGACGGACCGTCATGGGCACGACGGACCGTCGCAGGGTCTCGTTTCAAAACACTTAGAAAATCTGAAATTTGGTACTGAAAATCGACTCTCTGAACTTCGTAACGGAATGGCAGGACGGACCGTCACAGATTATTCAGTGAAAATTGAGTCTCTGACCCTTGCGACGACCTGCAGGACGGACCGTCGCAGGCACGACGGGCCGTCGCAGGTTGCGCAATCCCAGTCTGGGTCGGATTTCTTGATACGTTTTAAGGGACGTTTTTGACTATTCTTGCCTTAATTATAAAGCTAGTGGATTAATGTTAATAAGTCTAATTACTTGGGGGTTAAAAGAGGTAACCTTAAGTTAATTAGTGGGGCATTATTGTCATCTTTTATTCTTAATTATATACTAATTAGGGTAAAAGAAAGAGGGTTGGAATAAGAAAAATAAGAAAGGACAAAGAGAGACAGAAAAAGAAAGAGAACGAGTAGGGAGAGAGAGAAACGAAGGGGATAGCAAGGATTTTGAGAAGATAGCTTGTTGATCGCAATTCTTCGGTGAAGGTAGGTTATGGTTTCTCTTACGATATTCGTAGTAAACTCTTAATAGAGAATCATATGTATTGATAATATTGTAAACCCTGCTATGTGCTTAATTGTGTGCTTGCATGAATGTAATTATATAATTGTGATTATATAAGCATGATGAAGTTATTGAATCCCAAATCTTGCAAAATCCTAATCTCTTTGTTAATAATGAGGCCTTGGTATAAAAGAAGGCGTGATGAACTAAAATAATGGGATTGATGATGTCTTGGTAAGAAAGAAGGCTTGATGAATTGATGGAAGGAGACTAGGGGATCGGGTGTCACGAACCGACACGTAGTATTAGGGGATCGGGTGTCACGAACCGACACGTAGTATTAGGGGATCGGGTGTCACGAACCGACACGTAGTATTAGGGGATCGGGTGTCACGAACCGACACGTAGTATTAGGGGATCGGGTGTCACGAACCGACACGTAGATTTAGGAGATCGGGTGTCACGAACCGACATATAGATTTAGGGGATCGGGTGTCACGAACCGACACATAGATTTAGGGGATCGGAGTGTCACGTACCGACACAAGAGGATTAATGAATATTGAGGGAGCGGAGTGTCACGTACCGACACAAGAGAAATAAAGATAATGAATCTTGAAAGATGTTAATATACTCAATCTAATGAACATGATTCCCAAATGAGTATGGTATTGAGGTTTGAGTCCTCATGTGTGAACTTGACGGTAATTGTTAATGATATAGTATTTGTTGTTGCTACATGTTGAGTATCATAGTTGATTTTATGATATTACTTGGTATATATTGATTTCTAATTTGAGTTGGCCGATGATATCTACTCAGTACCCGTGTTTTGTACTGACCCCTACTTTTATGTTTTCTTCTTGTTTATTTGTGGAGTGCAGCAAACGTGCCATCGCCTTCGACTCAACAGTAATTCAAGCCAGTCTTACTACATCGAAAATTCAGGGTGAGCTAATGCTTCTAGCTTGGACTGGATCTTCTTCTTCAAGTCTTGATGCCTTGAACTTCCGGCATGGACTAACTTCTTATGTATTTTTTTTTTAGCTTTTAGAATACTCTTAGATTTAGTAATTTGAAGTAGATGTTCTTGTGATGATGACTTCCAGATTTTGGGGAATAATAGATGTTGAATTTTAGAAGTTAATGAATTGGTCTTTATTTAATGAATTTAAGTCTTCCGCATTACTTTCTGTTGATATTATATTGAAATGTTAAGGTTAGATTGGTTGGTTCGCTCACATAGAAGGGTAAGTGTGAGTGCCAGTCGCAACCCGGTTTGGATCGTGACAAATAATAAATCTTGAAACAACTTGTTTAAAAATCAAATAAGCCCTGACTATTTTAACATAGTTAAAAATAGGAATGCAATGATACGATTTAATCGGTTATTTTATTAAATTAATATACTATAGTATCAAATTTTTTATTATTTTATTTTGTATAATCAAAATTAGTTTTACATTGTCCCATCACTTTAATATTAGTTTGGTTTTGATTAATTTACGATATTCTTTTATTAAAATATCATCTAAGAGTCACATAAAAAGTTAAGACATGATACAATGCCTACTTTTGTGGGTGAGGAGGTATTTGAAGTTTCGAGATTTTGATTCGTAATTACGTGCTCTAATCTTTTATGCTATGGCCTATGATAACTATAAGAATCGTTACATCACCTTTTTTTTTATATTCTATTTATATAAAAAATTTACAATATACTTATTTTTGTGTAAATATTTTATCTATTAATAGATATATATGGAGCGTATAATTTAGGGGTGTGCATTCGATTTTTCGGTTTGATTTTATATTATTTGGTTTGGGTCTTTGTTTTTTGTTTTTGAAGAAGTGTAACCCAATTCGAACCAAAATAAATTTGATTTAGTTTGTTTTTTCTCTTTTTGGTTTGAGTTTTTCCGATTTGGTTAATCGGTTATGTCAATAATTAGAAGCATAACTAAGTTATATATGCAATTTAAAAAAAAATTTCTATATATAATATTGAATTTCTTAAATAATTTTTTAATAAAAATCACAAGTAAAACGTAAAGCACAATACTTAAAAATATATCAATTATAGATGTCCAAACATAAGAGAATAAACCAAAATCATATATATATATATATATAATGATTTTTTTTTTGGTTTTTATTTTCTAAAACCTAAACCAAATAAAAAAATCAAACAAAGTAAATTATAAATTTAAAACCAAACAAAAAATTCAAAAAACAAATTCAAATTCAAATTCAAATTTGATTTGATTTTTCGATTTAATCTAAATAGTGCATACTCTAGTATATATTTATAGTGTATAGTATTGTTAGGCCCATTAATGATTAAACCCAAATTCACAAAAATCCCGTGACCCGTAACTATATATATATACATATATACACAAACAAATAGCCCCAATTCAGCAAATTCTAGGGTTTTGATTCTCCTAATCGCCGGCGCCGATTGCCGTCAACCTTCAAATCGCTGATCATCATCTATTTTTAGCAGTTATAGTCGGTTGACGATTCACCTGTCCAGGTAAGCTTCTGACTTCTCTCTTTTGCTTCATATTTTTCTCTTTTTTCAGGCTTTAATTTCTCCGTCTTCGCTGTGTGTTTGCTGCTACAGCTTAGAAGAAGGAAATTACTTGCTCAAGTTGCATTGTAACTCTTTTACATTAGAATTCTGTAATTTAGCTTGTGTTTAAGGCCTGAATGGTTTTCTCGTTTTGGTGCTTAAACTTGAATACTAATGAAATTTGATAATATGACTTCTCGAAACTCAATATATTGCTACTAATGAAATTAAAGTTTGAGTCTTTTTTGATGCAGTACAAAATTAGAGTTTTTCTTTATTTTATTAATTATTACAAGTAGTGTTGTAGTGTTCCTCGGTTGAAATTTCGTTCAGTTTCTTGTAAGCTACCACTGTATGTTGTCACAATTTATGGATGCATTCATAAAATAAGATATCCCTTTGTGTATGAATAATTTTCTTAAAATTGTATTGAATAAAACTTGCAGTATTGCTCATCTTTTTCTGTTGAAGTTTAACTTTCTGTTATCGTTTTCTCTTGCTTGCTGACAGATGAGGGTGAAAAAGCAGAAGCGGCATAGGAGAGCTGTGAGGTTTTACACGGCTTGTTTTGGGTTTAGAGAGCCTTTTAAAATCTTCTGTGATGGAACATTTGTGCATCATCTTGTTGTTAATCGCATTACACCTGCTGATACTGCATTGACAAATATTCTAGGTGCCCCAGTTAAACTATTCACCACAAGGTTTATATCATCAGCTCCATTTATCTCATTTCTGCTATGGTCTTTACATGATCTAACTTTGTTTGCACGATTTTTAAGGACAAGTTAAATATGTTTCGCTTTTAAACTGTTTGGTAACTTCCTGTTCTCTTTGCTTTCAGATGCGTTCTTGCGGAGTTGAAGAGTCTTGGTGGTAACTATCAGGAATCACTGAATGCAGCTAATAACCTTTTTACTGCACGGTAAGCCATTTATTCTATTCTTCTTGCTGGATCCTTTCAAAACCAGGATGTGTTTTGCTTCAGTTCTCAGGAAGTTCTTTTGAGTTTTGCCACATATTTCAATCTTACTCTATTGCAGATGTGACCATGAGACACGCAAAAGTGCTGAAGATTGCATAACTGAAGTTATTGGGGAGAACAATCCTGAACACTTTTTTGTTGCTACTCAAGATGCAGATATGCGTAGAAGTCTTCAGAAGGTATTTGGACTTACTTTCCTTGATTTTGAATGTCTTATCAATCAAATCACTTAGTAAAACATGTGAACTGGAAAAATCCCATATTCTAGGATGTCTTGTCAGAAAAATCTTCAGCAGTTACTTATTGTAATAATGTTGCATCCATTTCGAAATGTGAAACTTGCAATCTCTGACTTTTGCAGTAGTAGTCAAAGATTTTTAACTAAGTGAAAAGTGGTAAAAATAAGAGATCTTTGTGCATCTACAGGGACTATATTATGGTTCACCAGTTAACCTTAGCATGTGGGACTAAAATGATAAAACTGCAAAATATTTCTGTCTCCTTCTGGGTGCGAGGGGGTAAGATTAACAGTCCCACGTTGTTTGGAATTTAAATGGTATTTTATGTACTTGCGAGAGAGTGACCAGAATCTATTTTGTATCTGTATCTCTTATAGCTTGTTTAGACAAGCTTCTCGGGAGTCAAAATTGCTTTTTTTTTAAGTGCTTATCCTAGAGGATTGAGGTATTTCCCATACTAAGGAAAAAAGTAAGTGCTTTTAAGTATATCAGTAGAAGCTGAAAACAATAGCTTTTTCCCGGAGAGCACTTCTGAAACCACAGCCAATCAAAAGTTGCTGCTCTAATATTGACAAAGTGCTTTAGATTTGATTAACTAAGCACAAATTGTACTCTCAAAAATTACTTATCACGAAAAGCACTTATCACAAAAACCACTTCTCAAAATAAGAATATCTCAAACGATCGGGCAAACAGGTATACCTTAAATGAACCGGAAATACCTCCAACATTTAGGAGAACAATTTATTATGTATATGCTAACTGGCTTTTCTCCTGTGTTTTCTGACCTTTGTTTCCCCTTTTCCTGAACTGGGTAGATACCTGGTGTGCCCCTAATTTTTGCTCTTAGGAATGCATTATTTCTCGAACAACCATCATCATTTCAACGTGAGTTTGCCAAATCTGCTGAAGAAAAACGTCTTCACATGACTGACCTGGAGTACAACATGCTTAGACAGGGGAAAAAGAGGAAACTGTCCGATGTCAAACAAGGGGATTCTTCCAATGCATCAGAGGGAGAGACAGATGATGTTTCACAGGCTCAGATTATCAATACAAATCTTCAGAGGAATGGAAGTGATGTCAAGGATAAAGTTCGTTTCAAGAGAAAGAAAGCTAAGGTCAGGGTTCATAATAATTTCTTATTCTCTTTGTACAGCTTAAACTTTAACTTGTGGATTTCTCATTCTATTAAAATATTGATGTTTAGGAACAAATTCTCCACTTTCATGTGATCATTACATGTTAATGTTCAATGCCTTTGTTAAAACTTCTCTTTTGATAGGTGAGCAAACATTTTATTGAAGCAGAAAACATTAAGATAGTCACGGGTAAATGTAGAAAGACATGGGCTACAAAACTCATCCCTGCCAATTCCTTGGAAATGCAGCTTTTGCTGGTTTTTGACATGAACTTTTGAGAAACAAAATAATTTTAATAAAAAGAGGTTTTCTGGAACTTCTGTGTGTGTCATTTCATGAATGAGTATTAGGATACAAAAGTTACTCTGAAAGTTGCTTGATTCATAAAGAATGCTTTTTTTCATCTAGATTGAAAGTATTTCTTTATTTTTAGCTTGTCTGCAAATTGTGATCCTCAAGCTCTGAACAGAGGTTTTTCCTTTCTCTATGATAGATGGCTGGACATATATTTGAAATAAGAGGTTATATCTTTTTTGTACAAGTGTGATAATATTTCATATAAGTATACTTCTACATTTACGGCTGTTGTGTGCACAACCCTCTCTTAACTTTGAGTTGAAAAAGATTTAGTGACATAAACTAAGTAATTATGTTGTCAGGGAATCGTTTTGCCTGTTGTTCCTCTAAATTGATTAAGGCCGGTACCATATTTATTATTTACTTATATAATATATGTTTCATGGACATTATTGACGTAATGCGTGAATTCACTAAACATGTTCCTTAATGACTGTTTGGTTTATGCCTTCCCTTCTACAGGGTCCAAATCCACTCTCTGTGAAGAAGAAGAAGAAGAAGCCTGTGGATACAATCACGACCTTGGGAAAGGTGAGATTAAGTTTCTCAAGTAACTGAAGTCGAACTGGGCATATATTGGGTATTCATTATTTTCTGCCTGCCTCACCACTCCTTTGTTAAAGAGAGAAAAAAGAACGTCTACGTGCTACACTTCGTAAAATTTGTCAGTAGTTCTTGTATTCTTCACCTGTTTAATTACTGTAGCGTTTGACCTGTATAAATATCTGCAGGGAGATGGTATGCACTATGACCACTGTGAATTATACCTTCACACGTAGTAGTTCTCTTAGGTGTGACATTGATGGTTAAGGGTTATAGTAGGGGACGAGGTAGACCTAAAATCATAGGAAAGGAAATTGTCCCAATAGGACTACGACCTGTGTATAAAAGCACTGGTGAGTTTGGCCATTGTATTTATTATTGGTCAGATTAAACCCCACTGATGGTTTTTAATTAATAATATAAACATTGACTAATAGATTAAAACATGAAAAAATATAGAACTTCCTCAAAATTGTACAAGGTTCAAAAAGAAAAAGATGCAAAACTATCTAGGCATAGTGATAGAGTATTCTAAATCAACAAATTCTTTATTATAGAGCAATATTTTTACTATGAGTTATACTTGAGTTTCTTAAAAGTGAAATTACATATAATGGAAATCAGTACACTAGTAAGGATATACTTGTACCACTAAATGATAAGGCAACAAGTGAATATTGCCCCCTCACTCCCCTTGGTAATTATGCCACTGAATTATCTGAATTAGTGTAATAAACTATATTATTTCCCCACCTTTTTACCCTCTTGGTGAATGTGGAAGTTCCAAGTGCAGGAAAACAAGAATGGTGAGGGAACTGTGAGAAGCAGGAAGAGATCAAGGAAGAGGTCACGCAAAAATGTCGTAGTAGGAAATGCTTAGTGTTGAAGCCATCCACCCCGGCTGTGATATCAGGTAAATAATGATCTATAAAGTTAAAAGTGAAATGCTGATATGCTGCATTGTAATAAGATAATTTTCTGTAGAGCACCCTATAACTGAAGACACAGTTATTTCGCAAAAACACCAAAGTATTGTGTACAAATTGTTAATTCCTTTAGAGTTAACACGATCTACTGTTTTTCTCTTAGAACTTCCGAGAATTGACAATGGTTGATTTTTAATGCATCGATAGTTTCTCTATTCTCGTCTAAATACTTGCTTGTGTTGGTCTACACTGGTATATTTTTTCTTCAACTCTGCGCGCATGTGAGAAAATTACCTAGTGTTTGTTGCCATCTACTGTTTTTTATCTTTCAACTTCCAAAATTTGATTATGGTTGATTTGAATGGATCATGAGTTTCTTTCTTTCTTGGAAGTGTTGCTTCTTCAACTAAATCCATTTATTGTTTTGGACGCGTATGATATTACGATTTTGTTCCCACCAGCATATGTATCAGACAACTCCGCCCACCAAAGCTTAGGTATAACCTGGTGTCATTGCCATCTAGTGAGATTTGAACCCGAGATCTCATGCTTCTCCTTCCACTTCGTTGACGTTATTATATGCTTGACTGATTCTAAGAATTATTGTCTCTTTTGCAGGAGGAATTTTGATATCAAGCATAGTACAATCTTATATTTATCAAAGGAAGAGTCTATTGCTAATTTTTGATCAATTTTGAATTTTCCATGAATTTTGCCCTTATGATAACACTAGAAAAAGGTGCCCGTGCTAGTATGGGCCCAATATCTACTTATTTTTTAGTTTTAATTAATGCGATATAGATAGAATTAGAAAGTTGATTAAATCTTAATATGATTTTTAAATTTTTTAAGTTGTTAATTACTTTTTCTTTGATAATGTGAAGAGGCCCATTAAGATGTCCAGTATTTTTCATCATCGGTCGTTATGTTTTATTCCATATAGTTACAAGATATAGACAAATATTTTACCGACATTAAAAATCATAAAGCTGTAACTAAAAAATATGAATTTAAAATTAAAAGTCGTAGCTTAACAAATTTCAGGATTTTGAAAATATTATATACTGATTAAATTATAATAGAATTAAAAAAAAAAGTTTTTTTTTTGCCCTGAAAGGGGCACATCGATGGAAAAGTGCCCCTTCAGCGCGAACTCTCTTATACAATAAGAGAAAATGATGAAAGTTGAAAACGCGTTAGTTGTTAATTTTAAGTTCTAACGACTAATTTAGATTTGTGTAGTATATGTAGTGCACATAACGAGAAAATATTTCTTATTCGATTCTCAAATTCAAATATAAGATTAAAAAAATAATTTACCCATTATTGCAATTTGCAAATAACTTGATTCGATAATATGTAAGTGCACAAAATTTAACTTGTACAACATTCTTTTTCATATTATATAACATGATAAATTAGGCACTAAACAATCATTTTGAATAAAGCACAATTGTTGACATAGATTTAATTATTTAAAATTGCATATGAAAAAATTATGGTCACAAACTTGTTCAATAAAATAGTATAGTTGTGATTAAGACGTGAACTATTATTATCATCATCATATTATTATTATTACCATTATATTCATAATTAAGAAACCATTAAGAGTTGGCCAGTAAATAATACATATACAATAAAAGTATTCCTAATCAATTACATCTTATAAAATAATCATATGGAACATAATTGATTGGTCGGTTTGATTAGGGCGGTTCTTAATAAATAAATTTTACTAATGAGTTTTGTGACACAATGACACAATAGTCGATAATATATTAATCATCTTGATAAGGTTTTGGACGACTTAATTTATTCGGTGGTCAACAGTTCGAGCCTTGAAAGTAATGAGGATATAATAGTCTTTTTTCTCTTGTATTCAAAATTTTCATTTTTGAAACTATACGCGTTTATATTAATTCAGTATTACAACGTTTAATAAGATATTTTGTATTTAAGTCTTGATAATAAAGTTATCGCTTCATCCAAACCGATCGACATAAATTTAAATTAATTAAATTCAAGATATTAAACTAGACGAATTCAAAATAAATATTAAATATAAAATAGAAAAACTAAGAAAACCTTAAAAGGACTTCTATAATAAAAATTTAATTTAAACATAAAAACGACATACTTTCTCTCAGCCATTCCATTAGATTCAAAATAAATCGTTTTAAATAAAACTGTGGCTGTGATTCTCCCATAATTTTCTTAAAAAATAATTAGGTTTTAAAGTTTGATATTAGAGTACAAAAAATTTACATCTTTTTTCGATACGAACGATGAAAGAAGTATTATAAAAAGCGAAATTAGAAAAAAAGGATCATATTTCAAGAAACTGTAATATATTAAGGTTCAAATTAGAAATATTTACTTCAAACTTCAAGTTTTATATATTTAATTTAAATAAGAAATATTTACTTCATTTTTTCATAATTGTTGAGATGAAGAGATGATTTTTTATGCACTCATTATCTAATGGAAATTTTATTTATTTATTTTTTTAATTTTGCTTAGCTGCCCACATTATCAGAATTATTTGAAGATTAGGTGATTAATTAGTAGGTCCAGAGCAGCTAATCAAATGCATATATGTTTAATAAATAAATAATGTGATATTCTAAATTAAAACAATAAGAAAAAGAAATAAAACCTTACAAGAATCTGCCAACTTCTTCCCTTCTGTTAACGTTGATAATATATCAATAACTAATAATTTGATTTATAAATCAATTAAATATAGTCACATTTTTTTTTTGTCATTTCTAACCATTTATACTATATTTATTCTTGAAAGAGGTTAAAATCACATTTAAAAAAATTAAGTACTTCTGATCTACTGTAAACTTTTTTATATTTAACCCACTAAGGAAATGAAATCACACGATGATTTGGACGATTCTTTTATTCATAAGCTGCAAGTGAGTTAAATTCAAGATACATTTAACATGACGTCAGAGGTAGACTCGTGATATTGCCCCCTCCCCCCTTCACTTCTATCCCCGCTCGTTCTACAATAGATTGTTTGCATGTTCAGTATTTAAATAGAGTTGGAGCGCGAGGGAATGATTAGTGAAATTTCAAATCGAAGATGAATAATTTTATAGAACTCTTTATATGTAAGCACCTTTTGAGCTATATTTTGAAGTTGAATTAGGTTCAATATACATTTCTTAACATCGTATTAGAACTAGGCTCTCGATATTAGACCTTCAAATAAATTGTTCACCCATCCAATGACGAAGAATGTCTAAACGCACACCAAGTAGGTGGGGAGTCTCACATTGGAGATAGATAAGTTTTCTTGAACGTTTAATATGACTCGAATAATCCTTCCTGAATTAATCTTTCGGATAGATTAGATTAAAAAATCATTCCACATATTTCAATAGATACTAAATTATGAATACAGTATCAAAAATGTAATAGTAGATTCAATAATCAACACTTCAACCTACCCCTAATTTGGTCGGCAGAATATATAAACGTATTATTTAACTGTCTCGATATTCTTCAATTTTGAATCTACGCACGTAAATATCTTAATTATCATAAATTTAAATAAGTAGACATACACATTTTATTTGACAAATCTCATGAGACCCATCCATCCTACATAAAAAATCACGTGAAATTTGCTTAAATATGTATATCTACTTATTCAAATTTATAATAATTTTAAATGCTTATTTGTTATTGAACAATATAGATATTAGCTAAAGATCAAATTAACGTCATAAATGTTAACTGAGACCGAGTTAAAAGAAAAGGGTGTTTATGTATTATTATAATGACTTCTCCACTATATAAGGACACAAACACATACCTCTTTTTTCAGTACCAAAAAGTAGCCAAAAAAAAAAAACACAAGAAATCTTAGTGAGTGAGTGAGTGAAGAAATGGCAGAAAACAAAGAAGAAGATGTTAATCTTGGAGCCAACAAATTCAGAGAACCACAACCCTTAGGGACATCAGCACAAACAGATAAAGATTACAAAGAACCACCACCAGCTCCTTTATATGAACCTGGTGAACTATCATCATGGAGTTTTTACAGAGCTGGAATTGCAGAGTTCATGGCAACTTTCTTGTTTTTATACATCACAATCTTGACTGTAATGGGTCTTAAAAGATCTGATAGTTTGTGTTCTTCTGTGGGTATTCAAGGTGTTGCTTGGGCTTTTGGTGGTATGATTTTTGCCCTTGTCTATTGTACTGCTGGTATCTCAGGTCAGTTCTTTTTTCCCTAAAAATTTCAACTTTTTTTTTGTTTTTTTTGTACTAAAAATGTCATCTTTCTTTGTGTGTGTATAATGGGGTTGTGTAGAAACTAGTTTTATGAGTTCTTGATTATATACCCACACAAAAATTTTATAGCTTTCTTTGCTCTTGTCTATTGCACTGCTAGTATCTTAGATTAGTTGATTTTTCTCTAAAAAAATGATTTATTTTTTTGTGTGTGTATAATGGGGTTGTGTAGAAACTAGTTTTATGAGTTCGTGATTATATACCCACACAAAAAGTTTATAGCTTTCTTTGCTCTTGTCTATTGCACTGCTAGTATCTCAGATTAGTTTTTTTTTTTCTCTAAAAGGTTGAATCGTTGTTGTGTATTTGAACTAAAAATGTCAACCTTTTTGTTTCTTGTACTAAAAATGTGATCTTTTTTTTTTGTGTGTATCATGGGGCTATGTAGAAACTAGTTTAATGAGTTCTTGATTATGTACCAAGAAAAAGTTTTTAGCTTTCTTTGTTCTTGTCTATGGCACTGCTGGTATCTCAGGTTAGTTGATTTTTCTCTAAAAAGTTGAACTTTTTTTGTTTCATGTACTAAAAATGTGATCTTTTTTTGTGTGTATATCATGGGGTTATGTAGAAGCTAGTTTTATGAGTTTTTGATTATGTATCAAGAAAAAGTTTTTAGCTTTCTTTGCTCTTGTTTATAGTAATGCTAGTATCTCAGGTTAGTTAATTGCTCCTAAAAATTTGAACTTTTTTGTGTATCTTGTGCTAAAAAAAATGTTAAAACTTTCTTATTGTTGTTGTGTGACATGAGTTTCTATGTGTGGTTTTGTTGCTGATTTTCTGATCTTGTTCCTTTACTTGCTCTAAAATTGTGAACTTTTTTTTGTGTATTTCTAGTAAAAATGCCAACTTTTTTGCTTTGTTTGGTGTATCATGGTTATGTATTCAAAAGGGGTAGTCTATTACACATGTTTTACTTCAAAACTATCAAGTCAGCAAAGTGAAAGTAGTTTCTTGAAAATTGAGAAATAAGGCAGTTATTAATTAGACAATGGTTATTTCGTACTTTGAGCCGAGCATCTTTCAGAAATAGCTAGGGATAAGGTCTGTGTACAATCTACTGTCTCTAGACCCTAGTTATCTTTGTGGTAATGTTGTTGTTTTTTAATTCTTTATTACTTCTTGCATATGTAAACTAGTGTTGAGGGCAGTATTTTCACCAAGAGAATTCATCATATACAGTGATTTTATGGCGAATGAATCGCCTTCACATGATTCGAGTAGAAAGCAATGTGTTTTTGGTTGAGCAAACATTTCTTTTTGAAATTTATCTAGAAACTGACTCTTTTCTTTTTTGTACTGAAACAGGAGGGCACATTAACCCAGCTGTGACATTTGGTCTGTTCTTAGCAAGGAAACTTTCCTTAACCAGGGCAGTGTTCTACATGGTGATGCAGTGTCTCGGTGCCATCTGTGGTGCTGGTGTTGTCAAGGGATTCATGCAAGGTCCGTATCAGAGACTTGGTGGTGGTGCCAATGTGGTTCAACCCGGATACACGAAAGGTGATGGTCTTGGTGCTGAGATTATTGGGACCTTTGTTCTTGTCTACACTGTTTTCTCCGCCACTGATGCCAAGAGAAACGCTAGAGATTCACACGTTCCCGTAAGTGTTTTCTTGTTCAACAAAGCATACGACTTTCTGATAACGAATGCATTCAATCCCAACCTGCATCGGATTAAGGCGTGATTGCTGTTGTTTGAAGGATAAAGGAACTGCATTCTTAACTTTCGTATTGTGTTATACAGATTTTGGCACCACTTCCAATTGGATTCGCGGTGTTCTTGGTTCATTTGGCGACCATCCCAATTACCGGAACTGGCATCAACCCTGCTAGGAGCCTTGGAGCTGCTATCATTTTCAACCAAGACCAAGCTTGGGATGACCATGTAAGTCCCTTCAACTTACATTCATGTGATGATCATATCTCATACTTCCATTTCTATTTTGTTTTTGATTACCGAAAAAACAGGGAGATTAGTTGGCGCGTTTGTAATTAAATGGATAATGAGTTCACCCTTCTACCCTTCTCCACTTAGATACCAACGATCATAGTATATCTACTCATCTAATATAAAATCAATGAGTAGATCTCACCTCTCCGTCTCCATATCATAGTCACAAGAGATAGGTATACACTGAAACGAGACTACGACCCCTTGTCCAACAACATTTAGTTTAAACATGATTCGAACATCTTTATGCTATAAGTTGTGTTCAGAACTGTCAATATGGACTGGCCAACCCAGATAAGCCGACTCATCATCTTGATGTGCCTTAAGATAGCCAGCCCAACCCTACATGAGCCAGGCCGGACTAAGGCCAAGGCCACGACCACATGATAGAGAACACCTGTCTCGAACTCATGACATGCGCCTAATTCACATAATTACACATCACATGTTATGCTCTTACTACTGAAACCAAAATCGCGAAGGCTCTCGTTTTTTTTTTTTTTTTTTTTATAGTTAACAAATTTTTTTTTTCTCTTTTTCAGTGGATCTTTTGGTTTGGACCATTCATTGGAGCTGCACTTGCTGCAATTTACCATCAAATAATCATCAGAGCAATTCCATTCAAGAGTAGAGCTTAAGAGTCTCAAACCATTTTTCTTTTATCTTTCTAGTGTTTGTCTAAATGTGTATTTTCTTCAATTCAAATGTCATTTATGTGAAATAAATTATCATCAAGTTGTATGTAAAAGCTTCTTTAAATGAAAATAATTTTTATTTTATCCTTCTTAATTATTTGTATACTATTGAATTTTCTACCTTTACGAGAAGACATTATAATCTCAATATAATTAAAGTATGGTAGATGTGATCGAGATCAATACGTTCTAACTAGATATGAAATATAATGTAGATATACCTAAAGGAAAAAACGTAATTTTCGAAACGTATTTAAAAAAAAAAGTAAAACAAGCGAATTAAAACAGAAGAATTAATATATTTTTATAGAAAACTTTGATAATCTTGTGTCTATGTTCATTGTTGGCATATACTCCTTGTGATTTTGTTCAATTTTCCTTGATTTCTCCCACTAAAACAAGAAACAATTAAAAAAAATTAATTAGTTCAATATTATTGCCTACTTATACTCTTGCTGTTTTAATTTATTTGTCTGAATTTAATTAGATATGAAAAATTTAAGAAAGTAAAGAAAACACATTAAATGTATAAAAAATGTTGTTAAATATTATGATTTTGTCATATGAAAAGCTAGAATTAAAGAGTTGTCAGTAAAAAAAGAGAAACGTTCTTTCCATAATAGACTTAAAAGTAAAGTAAAACAAACAAATTAGTCTACTACATTTGGTTCAATTTGTATGTTAGATTTTAACTTGATACCGAGTTTATGAATCTAAAGAAAACTCTACAATCTTGAAGTCTTAATATAAAGACACATAAAATATATCGAAAAATTCTTTAATCTTATGAACTTAAATATGCCATGTGAATCTAAAAAACCTCTATAATCTTAAAGTCTTAATTTAAAGATGCATAAAATATATCAAAAGATTCTTTAATTTTACAGTCTTAAATATAGCACGTGAGAAGTTAGGATAATAGAGTTATCAAAAAAGAAGAATATAATTATTTTCTACACATATTAAAATGAAAATAAAACAAATTGAAACTTTAAAAAGTATATATAGTCCACTATTATATATATATATATATTATTCTATCATCAATTTTTATGAGTGAATTCTCCAAGAATATAATTTATAGAGTGAAACTAAAATTAAAATTAGAATTAAATGTGGATATTTGGAAGAAAAGGAAATTCTGGTTTCTCATGTTGTTCAACTGCTGAGGAAGTTACTAAAGGAATTAATGGATTTGGCCTCACTGCCATTGTTACAGGTCCCGAAAAAATTGTCGTAAAGTTTTATTCTTCGTTTTATTTGTTAGTAACGATTCTATTTATGAGACTGTTTTCATTAGGAAAAAATTGTCGTAAAGTTTCATTCTTCGTTTTATTTATTATTAACGATTCTATTTATGAGACTGTTTTCATTAGGAAAAAATTATCATAAAGTTTCATTCTTCGTTTTATTTATTATTAACGATTCTATTTATGAGACTGTTTTCATTAGGAAAAAATTGTCGTAAAGTTTCATTCTTCATTTTATTTATTATTAACGGTTCTCTTTATGAGAGTGTTTTCATTAGGAAAAAATTGTCATAAAGTTTCATTCTTCATTTTATTTATTATTAACGGTTCTCTTTATGAGAGTGTTTTCATTAGGAAAAAATTGTCATAAAGTTTCATTCTTCATTTTATTTATTATTAACGGTTCTCTTTATGAGAGTGTTTTCATTAGGAAAAAATTGTCGTAAAGTTTCATTCTTCGTTTTATTTATTATTAACGATTCTATTTATGTAACTGTTTTCATTAGGTAAGAAAAGAAGGAACCTAAGCATGATAAATATCACACACGAAATTCATTGATAATCCCTAGCTAATCCGTAGCTAAATAGCTTTTAGTTGAATTAATTTTTTATATTCTATCGATAAATAAGATTATCATGAAATTTTTACTGCTTAGCTATAAAAATTTGCATACCGCTAATTCCTTCTTTTCTAACCATGTTAGTGGAAACAAAAAACATATTGTTCAGTTCTATTCATAGTATAATTTTTCAACGTAGGAGATTTAACTCGACGAAATTTTTTCTTTCGTTTTTATTTATTTCAGGAGCAACAAGTGGCATCGGCGTGGAGACGACACGTGTCCTCGCCTTGCAGGGTGTGCATGTAATTATGGCAATACGTAATATGGGAAATGGCAAAAAAATTAAAGAAAAGATAGTAAAATCCATTCCAAATGCTAAAATTGATTTTATGGAATTAAATCTAAGTTCTATGGAGTCAATAAGAAAATTTGTCAAAGAATTTAACTCTGCTGGTCATCCTTTGAACCTTTTAATGTAAGAAAACAATATATTTATAAGTTTTATATTATGGTCGATACAAAGAAAAATATTTTTCAATTTTTTTTTAATATTCAATTAGAAAATTCATAAACTATTTTAATTAAAGAAAAAGTCATTTTTCTCTTTTTGATGAATATATTCTTGGCGTCTGATTTTTCTTTAAAAAAACGTTTTCTAGAAAATGTTTTTTTTATGATTCTTTTTTAAAGAGAATAAAATTTTTAAAAAAACATTTTAAATATTTATTGAATAGTGGAAAATATTTTTCAAAAGAAGATGGATAATAATATTATTTAATTGTTTGTTTTGGTTTTGTTAAGTAATAATGCAGGGGTTATGATTCCACCATTTACACTTTCTCAAGACAAGATTGAATTACAATTTGCAGTAAATCATTTAGGTATTACTCATTTTATCTAATTATGTTTAATTTGTTAAAGATATAATTAAATAATTAAATAAAGTTTTTTTTTTTTAAAAAAAATTTAAATTTTTTAGATAAGATGATTATACTCTTTAATATAATATCGTAGCAAATATTATCATGTGATTGATTCATTAACCCATGATAAAGAACCACGTTCGCATATGAAAGAATATATTGAAGATACAATTAAGTAAATAAAACATATGCTTCAATACGTGTGCAAAAACCACATATTAAAGGTATAATGAAGTAAATATAAGTGTGATCAGGACGTTTTGTTGTTTTGAAGATACAAACTAAAATGAATGAAAATTCACTCTATCCTTAGTCTTTTAGACGCAATAAATAACGATATGATGCACTAAGCTCTTATTATGTGTGAAATTCTGAAAAGGATCGTATCACGAGGATCTATACAATTTTATCTTATATTTCTGTAAGAGAAAATTGTTTCTATATCTCAGGTTTGTGACCTTCTTTCCTAATCACATGACAATAACTTTATCGATTACGACAATACTGTCGAAATAAATACATTATTCAATCAAATATGATTTGTTAATATTTTGTTTTTTCAGGTCATTTTCTTTTGACAAATCTTTTATTGGAAAACATGAAAAATACAGCTAAAAATAGCAAAAAAGAAGGAAGGATAGTAAATGTTGCATCAGCAGCACATGATTTTGCATATTCTCAAGGAATTATTTTTGATAAAATTAATGACAAAGAGAGGTATATATATATAGTCCATAATTAAATAACTTCTTTAATTATCATATTTTAGTTGAAAATTCTCTTATTCAAAGAATTAAAATATGATATTATTTTATTTCATGTTTAATAAAATTAAACATGAAATAAAATTAAGGTAAAAAATGAAAATAAAAGTGTATCCCAATTTATTTATATATTGTATACATTATATTTTTAGAATTTTAATATTTCTTATTTACTTTCAGCTACCATAGATTTCATGCTTATGGCCAATCAAAGCTTGCTAATATACTGCATGCAAATGAACTCGCTATTCGTTTAAAGGTAATTAAAATTATTATCACCGTTGTTATAAAATTTAAATTTTATATAATTAAAATTCTGATTTCACCTCTATCGATAATTTTTTTTAATAAATAGGAAGAAGGAGTAAATATTACTGCTAATTCTGTTCATCCTGGACCAATTGCCACTAACATTATGCGTTATGACAATATCCTTCATGGTAAAATATTTTAAACTCACTTTTATTTTATTTTTATTCCACCATTTATGTAAAAATCTCTTTAGTATTTAAATAAATTTAAAATTTTAGACTTACAATTTTAGAAGTGTAGTGTGTTCAGTATTAAGAAACTTAAAGCATGAATTCGTCAAATTTAAATTTTGAATCGATTCTTCGATAATCTTGTTGAAAAATAGTAGGTAGTTATTAAGTAGTTTTCTACCCTTAAAAAGAGTATTTGGATATTTTAAAAACGACTTAAAAAAAAGTTAAAAAGTTAAAAGTAGGTACCTTACTTTAATATTTTAAAAACTATTTTTTAAAGCTAAGTCGAACGAACCCTTAAATCTTTAGTTTAACCCTACTTTCTCCCCCCTAACTAACAGGAATAGTTAACTGGATTGGGAGATATGTGCTCAAGAGTATTGAACAGGTACTATAGCTCCGCCCCTGTATTTATCGTCAAATCTTGAACCCCCTAGCTCCGCCCCTACTTATGATTGTTTATCCTATGATTGTAGGGAGCATCAACTACATGTTATGTGGCTTTGCATCAACAAGTAAAAGGAGTAAGTGGTGAGTACTTTTCAGATAACAACATAGCTACAAACAAAACAACTTCTTTGGCTAAGGATTTAGATTTAGCAAAGAAGTTGTGGGAGTTTAGCTTGGATTTGACCAAATAGGATTGTCAAATGGGCGAGTCAGGTTGAATCTCGATGAATCTAAGACATGATGAGTTAATAAATAGACGGGTTAAAATTAAATTTTAGTTGAGAACCTTTATTCATCAATTCCTAATTTGACTATATTATCATGTCTTTGTATTTTGTTTGTTGGGCTAAGTCGATTCAAAGATGTTTTTAGCATCGTGTGATATTGTCTGTTTTGGACCACGTCCACAAATCAGTTGAGATGCGCAAACTAACCCAAACTTGAATTAAAAAAACGTAGATACCTGTGTTGATGAAAGGTAATAGATTTTCACCAGGTTTACTATAGAATTAGCCGACTTATACGCAAACTGACTTTGAACACCACGGTTATCCAGATGTCAATACTCATGACAATTTGCAGGACTCAAGTGGCAGTTACTATTCAAATGTCCATGAGTTTTTCAGTCCGCTTGTAAAGCTTCACGACTATTAAGAAATGAACCTTAGACCTAACCCGACTTCAAAATTTGTCTTATGAATCAATGTATACCAAGACCATAATGAGACTATAAAACTCGTATCGTCAACCAAATGAGGGCGCAATATTGGGTAAACCATGAACAAGGATTAGTCTGACTCTAATTCTATATAAAGAAAATGGAGATTGGACTCGCTCAACCCCAAAAACTTCCCCGTGAGGGGAGGATGATTCAAACTATATAGAGAGATTACATCCCATACCCTCAAGGCTTCAACAGGTAAAGTTGTTGTCATGTGACCAGGAGGTCACGGGTTCAAGCCTTGGAATCAGCCTCCGGCAGAAATGCAAGGTAAGACTGCATACAATAGGACCTTCCTCGAACTCTGCGCATAGCGCAAGCTTTAGTGCACCGGGCTGCCCCTTCTTACCCTCAACGGGAAATGAGTTTCTCCCATCACGAGATCAATAGACGACAACATATAACAGATTCATACAGCTAACTGCAATGTATGAAACATCTGTAAACTGGGAATGATGCAATATGTGACGATGGCATTCCACCAAACCAAAACGAACAAAGAAGTAGTTCGAGATGACAAAGTCATGGCAAAACAAGAAATGCCATCAGCTTAAAAGTATGTCCTGACTGCAGTAAAGATGCAACAGTTCCAGGAAGTATACTTACACTGAATCATATTTGGTAGCACAAAGGTACAGCAATGTATACTATCTTCGAACAACTTGATTAATTCTCTTCTGGAGCAACTTGAAAGGCTATTGGGATCGATACCTTCAACTTAACTTGGCATGGAAAAGAAAACTATTGTTCTTAGCAGCTTTTTCTACCTACCCGACCTCAGCTTTAGAAGTTAACTTTAAGCAAAGTAGACAAGAACTATATAACAAAAGAGCCATACATTCAACAAAGACTTAATAGTGAAGAAATGAACAAGATTGAAACAAAAAAAGAATCACATTTCGGCATTTCATTAGCGTTGTATAAATACAATTCTGTGCACATAACAGGTTAGAGGAACTAAATAAAACATTTACAAATAATAAAACTAGTCACTAACCTTCTTTTACCAATCAATAAATCAATCAATGAACCGCGTCTCAGTCCCAGACAAGTTGGCTTCAATGCCACGACCTACTCCTACCAATGCTCGCGAAAAAAAAACTAAAATCCCCTAATTGAACGCTGCCAAACCTCAACAAATTGCTGATCCTTTCGTGTAACAAACATTCTATTCCCTCCAAAACTGAAGTGAGTTATCCGATTTCCACAAAAATCTTTTGCTCTTCCCAGATAGTTCTTCCTAAAAACTCTGTCTTCTGATCCAAACTTGCCTTTTATCGAACCATCGATAAGAACCTCAGACCACAACTCAACATTTCCTCCTTTAGTGCAGAAAACTTGATTCCCATGGCTCTCGATTTTGCATCCACTTCCTTCCTTTTTACCATTCGTTACCTTTCTTTGATCACCAAGACAAATCCAAGCATTCTCAGAACCAATAATCCTCAAATCAGCAAGAAAAACCTCGCCCGAGTGTACTCCAACTTTAAAAATACCAGACAAACTATCCGAAACTGTGATATCGGAGAAACAATCAACATTTTCCTTTATTTCCCAAACCGTATTCCCGGACCTTAAATCCCAAAACTTAATATTCCCAAGTACACCAGAAGGACCACTATGTGAACCAGCAGACATTAACAAGTTATGACTAGGTAACCATCTTAACTTAGTAGCTGGAATTGCTGAATCCAACTGAGCACCAAAGATTTCATAATGACCAATCTTAGTAACCGGTTTAAAATCATCGTTAACATCATATACCATAATGCAATTCGAATTCCTCCTAGATGATTCGAAACTCGTAAACAAGAACTCACCTGATGATCCAATAGCTTGTACTGTTGAACCAGACTTGGTCACATTTTCCCAATTAAGATTCTTCTTAACAGAACCCTTAACAAGATCAAGAACCTGTAAACCTGAAAAATCAGTAGCACCAACTGCAACAGTTCTTGAATTTAAACACAACATAGAATCAATAGCTGGAAATAGAGTTAAAATTGTGGATTTTCTCTTTAAAGACCAATCAAAAGAAGTAATTTTACAACCATGAGCTACTTGAACTGAACCATTTTGTGTTGTGGAAATTGCTGTAGGTGAATCTCTACCAGTTAAAGGTAAAAGAAGAGATTTTTCAAGATCAAAAGGCTCAAACTGAGATGGGTTTGACTGGGAATTCAAAATAAGTTGTTCTACACCATAAAATTTAGCTTCAAAAATCAAATCTTGAATATCAAAGTTTTTAGCTTTTGATGGTAAATTTCCAGTTCTTAAAAGGGATAGTAAAACAGAGAAAATTTCAGGGTCTCTATCAATAAATGGAATTGAATCATTACTAGAAATTGTGGAAAAAAGGGATTTTGAACCTGCTTGATTTAGGGTTTGTTTGGTTGTTTGAAAAAGATGACCACCAACATTAATGGTGACTATGTTGGAATCTGAATCCATGTTGTTGTTGTTTTTGTGTCTGAAACCATATGAAAGAGGGTTTGATCCAACAAAAGGTGGCATTTTTATGAGGAAAAAAAAAACAAATTTCAAGAAAATTTATGCCAAATGAACACAAGCCAAATACTAACAAGACCTAAATTATGGGGTTGTTGAGTTTGTTATAAGATGAATCAAGAATGGTTGACAAATTTGATTTCTTAGTGATTTCCTTTTACCATTTGAGTGTTATTAGGAAAGGAGTCCAATCTTGACCAAATTTGTGGTCTTTGTGGGGTGTTGTGTGTGGGGGGTGGGGTTGGGGGGGGGAGACATGGTAGAAATAACATATTCAGTTTAATTTTCTGTAAGTTGAGTCGAAAAATGGTATGAACACGAATCAAGATTTTAAAATTTTTGATAAAGATATGATAAAAATAGAGAGAGTGTTTTCGATATATATTCTTGGCTCAAGTAAGAACATAACCTTAAGGAATACAGAAAGTTACCCGGAATTCCTGAGCAATTGCAATAATCGGGTTCATTGATATTCCTGGTATAGTAGTATGAAATTACCTTTTTGCTTATATATAGGCAGAAACCCAAAATTGAAATGAAGCTCCTTTTAAATTTTTGTTCACGTATAATTCAAAACTCGATGAATATTGGATGCTTTTTTTATTTTTCTTCACCTAAAAAGTATTTTTTCTGCAATAGAGTTTGGAACCTATGACATGTACTTAACTCACTTAACACATGTTGTTAGAGTTTTTTCGATGCGAATTTCTAAAATACTTCTCTATCTTTTTCTTAGCTCAGCAAAACACTACTTATCTTTTGGCTAACGTCTGACGATGATTTTTATATTGCTCGGACCTTAAAAAAAATATTACCACGCTCGTATTAAATACTCTAAAAATATACCTCATTTCTTCCGAAGATAAATATTCACAATTTGTTTTAAATTGATAGTGGGCTACAAACCATGCAAGTCGGTTGGGCCAATTTAGTAACCCAATCAAATTGGCCCAAACAAAAACTTCAATCGGCTATGATTTTGGTCTAGCCCCGGCCCATATGCAAGTCGCGGTTCGAGTCCATTTACCTGCCCAATTAGAAGGGGCAAAATGGACAAATATCCGCGGTTAAAGATCAACTTTAGACATACGTGACTGACGTTGAAAATCCACATAACTTCGAATATATTTGTATAAAATAGAGCTTTCTAAAGATCAAATATCAAACATTTTGACCTAAAGTTTGTTATATCTTATCAAGGATCACATTATATTAAGATGCGTTTTTTTGATAATATTTTTTACTGAAGTTATTTTATCGAACTAAAATTATTAATTGATTAACTTAATCATCAAAGACCTAGCTAGGATACATAATCTTTCTTCTTTTTTTTTTTGTTTGAGGAATCCTAGGTTAGGTAAGCTAAATATAAAAACCTAAGACCTAAGCAAAGCAAACTCCAATTGTTGAAACAAATGTTTACTTTGAGGCTGACACTAACTTATATAAAGAAATTAAATAAAAAAAAAAGTCATCAAATCGGGGGCGAAGCTAGAGAGAAAGCTATTAGATCGACATAATTCAGCAATTTTTATCAAAATATATATATATATTCACTCCCTTAATAAAAAATCTCATACTCGAACCTTATATATACATTCTCTCCCTTTTAACAAGAATATTTCACGTAATATATCTGAATCAATCGGACATAGGGTGAAATTAGAAAATCTCAATCACTATCAAAAAAAATTGTTTTGCAATCTTTTTCTCTTACGTGCTTGTGACTAAAGTCGTACCTCCTATGTAATAACATTTCAATATAAAGAATCTTACTTCGCTAAAACTAGTCTCTCATACTTTCTAAGCAAAATATCATTTGACTATAACAGTTAAAAAGTGTCGAAACAACGAATATTCGTATATCTTATGTAATAGCATTTCACTATAATAACTTTAAAAAAATTATCAAAATTATGAATATCGTTACGTTTTGTTATAAAGAAATTTGACCGGATATAACGCCAAACTTACTCCTCACAAAAATCATTAACCCCCAAAGCCAACCACAACTTCTCGTTAAAAATCCCCATCATACCCTCCGGTACAAACTCCTTCCTACAAAGCGGACACGTCTTCTGGTCATGATCCATCCAACGGTCCACACAGCTCCGGTGAAACACGTGTCGACAATTCATCAACATCCTGATCTCGTCGCCGGAATCAAACTCGTAAAGACAAACAACGCACTTCTCCGGCGGTTCGACTATCTCGGAAAACTTCACTACCGGTAATATCTCCCGGATTATCGCCGCTGACACGGAACACAATCGGGTATTCTCTTCACCGGGTCGGGTCGGGTAAGGAAAATCGGGTTCGAGGAAATCGGGGAGACCGAGAATTGTGAAGAGATTACAGATGAGTTTTCTGATGAAGAATAAAATTGAAAGAAGATGGAGAAGTAATTTGGGGAAATTGAGATCTGTATAGCCTAATGGAAAACCCATTAAAAAGGTGTTTTTATGAGTAATTAGTGTGTGTAGAAATGGAGATTTTGAACTGAGCTGAGGTTCCTCGTTAATGGCGGAATGAAGGGTTTATATAGTGGGGAAAATGTTCAAATTTGCCCCTACACTTCACGTGAAGTAGTCGAAGAGGATTCAACGTATATCAGATCATACGTACTTGAAGAAAATAATTTTAATCATATGTATTTTATTTAATTTCTTTTTATCGAAGAGAATCTGAATAAACACCATTAGTTCTATTTACCTCCGCGAATGGTCGTGATAAATATATATCATTATATTGAGATTAAAAATAATTTTTTTTTGAAAAAATTGATACTTATTTTCATTTAAAAAAGAATGACATAGTTTGATTTGGAACAAAGTTTAAGAAAGAAATTTTTTTTTACTTTTGTGGTTCTAAATTAAAGTTATGTCAAATATATCAAAATACTCTTTAATTTTATGGTCTTAAACATGTTATGTAAAAAGTTAAAATTAAGGTTTTACTAAAGGGTTATTCTTTTTTAAACAGACTAAAAAGAAAATAGGGATATTTTTTTTAAACGGAGAAAATATGATTCTGGATAAATTAATAAATTATGACTATCTATTTGTCAATGATAAAATATTAAAATCAAATTAAAAATATGAAATTATAGTGAATTACTCTGATAAGATAATGAATGGTAAGGTATGGGTAAAATTTACCCTTTTTAAATCTTATTTTACGCAAATTATATTAGGTATGTTACTATTTTTGTTATAATATATATTTTCTATTAATTAGCGGTGTAATAATCTCTCTATTTTTAGTAGCATGTTTGGATAATATTAGACTAAAAGTTGAATAAACTATAAAGTTGCTCCATTTTGAATAATAATGAGCATATTTATCCTTCTCTATTTTTATTTCGATATTTAATTTTTAGCTTAACTAATTTAAAGTTATTCTTTAAAAATTATATTTTGAAAAATAAAATATTTCTTATCAAATATAATTATAGTTATAAAACTCAAATCTGAGATCAATAAAAATAAAAAATCGCTTTAATAAATACATAAAATATGTTTTTTGAATGGGGTGGGGGGGTGGGGGTGGGGGTGGGGTGGGGGGTGGGGGGTTAGTGATAGGGATAGAGTCAAGTGTGTGAGTGTGTCCCATTCCAAGATGTAGGAGCCTTGTCCTATGATTGAATTGTCAATTTATATCTTCATAAATCAGACTTTTATCTGTAATAAAAAATAAAATTATAAATTCTTTTTATTTTATAAAAGATCAAAGTAATTAAACTTTATTTTTTGAATAGTACAAATGATGGAAAATATAATCAATAATCCTTTGAAATGTTGATTTTTAACTAGTTAGAAAGAAAAAGAAATTACTAATTATTTCGAGAATCATGAAATTTGTAAATTTATCCTACAAATTTAGGATAACGATCTTAAGTGCTAACTAAATTTTGAATTTAATTTTTATATGTTTGTGCTAACATATATATATCCGATCAGATGCTAATATATATATATCCGATCAGAAGATAAAGAAGATAGACGAGAAGATAAGGGGCGAAGGACTTTTTGAAATTTGATCGGTGTTTATATTAGAACTCTTAAACTCTATTACACAAAATTGATGTTGCTTACTTTTGGGGCCATTGACAAATAGTTCTATGGCCATGATGATGTGTATAATGTACTAATTTTTATACAAATTCATCAAAAACACAAATAATCAAATGATTTTGACTTGTTATTAGTAGGTACCAACGAAGGAACATAAGAAAAGGACTCATTTGAAAGCCACTAGACCAAAATATGTATTTTCAAAACTAGTATCACCATTCTATCAAGTACATTGATTGAAAATTGACCACAATTCTAGTTTATATATTTTCATAAATAAAAGAAAGAAAAAGGAGAAATTTTGTTTATATAAATGGTTTTATCTCCCATCGAAGAATGCGATGCTTATGACAGAGAACGAGTTGATAAGGATAATTCGAATAGAAAAACTTATATGACTTGGTTCTAGGCTGAAATTTTCTAAAGAATGGTGCACTCTTACGTCGGAAAGGAAGAGAAGAAGACTGAAGTTCACACTGTATAAGATATTTCATCAGTTTTGCGTGTTGATTAATATGACTATTCAAAACAGTCACCTAAACCGGATAGACAACTTCATTTTAAATAAAACAATCTTTTTCTATTATTTTTAATAGGAAATGTTTGATCATAACGTGAAATTTTTAATACGAATTCAAACTCAAGACACCGATTATATAAGAAGTTGAAGTATCAAAGTCATGGGGCCAAAATGGGAAAAAAAAGTCATGAAGGATTGTGCAATGTCCAAAGGCATCAAGTGGGGGCAAATGGTTCCTACAAATGCAATAGTCCCTTTCACAAGCCCACAAACACCTATGTGAACCAAATTGAAGACCCACCAATCATCTTTTTCAAAAAACATACTAATAATTACTCTTTTCGTTTAAGAAAGAATGATCGTATTTTTTTTTAGTCCGTTTAAGTAAAATGAACTATTTCTTTTTTTGACAACACTTTAACTTTAACTTACACGTGGCAGGTTTAAGACCACAAGATTAAAAGGCATTTTGGTACATTTGACAAAACTTTAATTTAGAACTACAAGATTAAAACATTTCTTTCTTTTCTTAAACTCCATTTCAAGTCAAACTAGATCATTCTTTTTTAAACGAAAGGAGTATTTTTTAACCCCCCACCCCCAATACACACTTATGTTTAATTATCTAGATTGAAGCTCGATTAATTCGCAACCTACTTATTAAAGAAGAAACACTTCCTACTAGTTTTTTTGATACTTACCACCATTAAAAATATACTAACTAAATAAATAGAAGTATCCTCTCTCTGATAGTTTAAATTTAAAATAATATCTAGAAATTAAATCTCACTATAACTCATTATAAAAAAAAAGCCATAAATAACGAATATATATCTATAAATAGTTAATTGTGAAGGCAACTATTATACTATTATATATCAACTCAAAATCATCATATAGAAATTCAAAAACCTTGAATCTCAAAATTTATCTCACCAAAATCTCTAATTAACGATGAAGTGATTATATATATTCTGTCAATTGTCATTATAGTCCATCGAACATATAACATAATTAGTATATGGTTTCATATAAAAAAAGAAATTGGTTAATTTTACTACTTATTTATTAATTATTTTGTGGAATTAAATTTTTATCGATATACTAATATTCTTCATACAATTCAAAATGGTGGGTATAATATTTGAAAATTAATATTTTAGGTTCTTGTGTTGTATTTCACATAATTTTACTTATGGATATAGTTTTAATTTATATAGTTATACATAGTTGTATAGTTATTAATTATTTGATCAACGGTAAAATAAATATTTTAAAATTAATGTATACCCTTTTAAATCTTAAAAACCAAATAGTTACTCTTTGTATTACGTAGCGATAGAGTAGAAATTGAATCTCATTAAGTCAAAAAATTTTGATTAAAATTCTAAAAATTTTTAATTTCGTCATACCTTATAATATATTTTGGTGTCACGTCGTATCCCAAATAACATGACTTTTTTAATTTTTTATTTATTAATATAAATATCGAATACGAATTTAAATCTCCTCATTCTATTCCTCTAATAAAAACTAGTAAAATATTCTTTTAATTTTTTTTTTATAGTAGCCTCCCCCTTGTAACCATGTCTTATTAAGGCCAAGACAAAGTGACCCATATAATATAAGAATAGAAATTATTATAATTATTAGCTTACAATCATTTACTTTTTAATCTTGAAAAATGTATCAACCATTTTTTGGCCCTCCACCGCCGACCAATTATTATTTTGCGGACTAATTTTTTTTTTTAAATAGTGTAACAATCAATTATTTTTTGTCGTCAGAAATATTAAACGATAATTGAGTTAATATTATTATATACAGAATCGTTAAAGTAGTTAATAATATGGATGTAGAGTGTTTTTTATTGCCAAGTTATTGCATAATTCTTTGTTTATTATAGTAAAATCATATTTATTTTATTATAATATTTAATAAATAATGAGACTCGTCAGATTTCATAATTTCCACTTAATTTTGTTGGGTCTCTTTTTTCACCCTTTCTTTGTCTCTATGTGATTGATTGGTATTGTTATTTTGATATCGGATTCATCTGAATCTAAAATTATAAGGAGAATAGTACTATATACTATAAATCAGATTAAATTCATCAAGTAGAATTTATGAATACATCTCTTATATATATATAAAATATTAAAATTTATTTAATTATTTAACTAATCATCCTTATATCTATGTAATCGAACTAATAATTTGTTATATCTTGCAAGTGAATTTATTTATATATATGCTTTTTTTTTCTTTTTTCTTTTTTTCCTTTTTTAATATTTTCCCTTTCTGCATACCTAGAAAAATGTCCTATGAGATTTCTCCAAAGAATTGAAAAAAAAAAGTGAACATATTGTTTATTCAATAAAAAGTTCCAATTCCAAGAATTAAGTGACATGTATTCATTTTTAGTTACATGATTAGAGATAATTATTATTACTATTTATTAGAATACTCAAAGCTTAAAAGCAATGTGTTGGATGAAAAAGTGTGTAAATTGTATACTGAGATTTTTTAAAATTTTTATATATATGCACTTTTTAGAAAACATTCATCTCCTAGATTTATTTGTTTTTTTTTATATATATTTTATTTCACTTTATTAAATCATATAGTAATGCATTTTACGTTGATTTGGTATAAACACTCGATGCGAATATGTTTTTTTTAATATATATTTACGTAATTATTTTGTAATCAATATTGTATATTCTTTTTTAATCTTAGTGGAAAAGATTAAATGATATTCCATCCGTTTAAAAAAAGAATGATCTTCTTTTCTTTTTCGTCTGTTTAAAAAAGAATCACTTTTTTTCTTTTTTGGTAACATTTTAATTTCAGCTTTCCACTTGACATGTTTAAAGCCACAAGACTGAAGGGCAATTTAGTACATTTGACATAACTTTAATTTAGGACCACAAAATTCAAAAGTCTTTTTTATTTTCTAAAATTTTGTGTCAAGTTAAACCAGATCACTCTTTGTGAAACGGAGGGAGTATCTATTTTTTACGAAAAAATGAAAGTATTTGATAAAATATATCTAAATGTCCACAAATTAGCCTGAAAATTAACCACAATTATTAAATATATCCCTCCCTATCCAAA